CTCTTTCCGAACTGTTGCAATGCTTTCACTACATTGAATTGAAAGATGTCTATTATACTGATGGAAAACATGAAAGACATAGGATATTGATAGTGATTCTAACTTATTCCTCTTGACTGAGGATCAAGTTCACTATTATGATCGGGATCGCAAAACGGATTGAAGTGAGTATTTTGATATCCTAACTATGTTTACAGTATTTTTCATGTCGTTAAAGTCGTATTTCTGTAGCCTCGCTTCAATAAATGCTTTAAAAATTGGGCACACAAACCAGAAGTAATAAACGATATCAAATCAAGATGGAAAATGCGTTACTTATCTTATGAGCTATTAGAGATTTTAAAGGTTCCGGGTGAGTTAAAAATTGAATCTCATTCAATCCTATCTTGTGATTATTATGGAATAAGATTTGATGTCAATATTTTATAGTCAAATTATATCCTCCACAGACTTCAGAAGACTTTCGTGCGTTATTTGATGATTTGGAAGAAACGGAAGAACAGGAAGAACAGACTTAAACTACTGCAAGCGTTCCAAACTTATCAAAGTATGCGGAACAATTCTCAATTCCTTGGTATCTAAATCATCATCAATCTTCTGAGGTGAATTAAAATTGAATGGAATGAGATTGAAGTTCACTTTACTTGTGTACTAATCTTCTTTGAACCCACAGAAAGCAATAAAAATCCTAGATGGGCTCGAATACATCGAATATCTTGACAAAATAGTACTGATGGAAATGTACTTTATGCTAATATTTCGTATAAATAAAAAACTCATTAACAAAACCTTGATCACGTGCCGATTACAAATTGCTAAATTGCTACGAGCTACGAGGAAATTGAGCTTTTATTTAAAATGGTTGTTGAATGCAATACAAAGAGACGTGACACAATCTTTTCTAATATGTCATCCTCATCCTCATCCTCATCCAACTTTTTCGATCACTTGACTTGTCAATCCAACCAATGATTTTGAAGCTTATATTTCGGTAGTCATTAATCGATGGTAGGACAAAGATAACATGTGATTTTATTATCGCATGTAAAACTGGCTTGTTATTGTTATCGATTCCTCGCGATAATTACAAAATTCCTCGCGATAGTTATTGTTATCGATATTTTTTGGCGTCTCTACGATTACCATCTTCCTGTTCACTACTAGAATTTATTGTGTCCCCGCTCTCCTAACGACGTACCTCTTTACTGCTCATTACTCTTGCTTTCGTATATGTAATTAATCGTGAGGCCAGACACAAGCTTTATTGAAAGTTCAACAACTACAATTACACCTGCATAGAGATATTTACAGTTGAACGTGTTCACACATTAATTTTCAGAACTTTATACGTTACGTATTTGAGAATGGGCGGCTGTTTGGGAATAATCACGACGAGACACTAATTGATTTCATCAAAACAATACATCAATATATGCACATACACAAACTCGTTACCAAATATCACGAGACAAAGGCCCATGCATTACCCAAGACATGTATGGCATTCAAATACTCTGCAATCCTGAAATCTACAAATATCGGACAAACAAACTTGATATAGACATTGAGTAAATGACGCAGAGCAATTTTATTCAAGCAGGGGAATGCTTTGTACGGTGTACGCCAGGTACAAAAGTGACAAAACTGAGTACCTGAGGATCTAAAGTCAACAGAAGGGATTATTATGTAACTATCTATATGCTGAATAGCCAGACCACAAACTAAATACAGAACTCGCGGTCGCTATTTGATAGATAGGAACTGAGCTTAACGTAGAATATATATATATATATATGTTGTATATAATTTGTGTCGCTATATAAATCCCGGATTTATATATATAATTTGTGGCAGCTCACCCCAAAACGCAATTTATACATATAATTTGTGGCAGCTCACCCCAAAACGCAATTTATACATATAATTTGCGTAACCCCAAGCATTATTTACCCCAG